TATTTCACCAGAGCTCCCTTTAGGAGGTGAGAAGTCCAAATTCAGGTTGCTGGCTCTAGGGGAGAGCAATAATTGCTCTCTCAGTGTCCCTTGATTCTAGAAGTTTTCAGCTCAACAGTCTGCTGCGCTCCTGGTTGCTACTTACTGATAATACTGAGGTTTCCATGATCTGCTTTTTTCTCCTTTTATGTCTTTCTAAGCGAAAAGGCAATGCCAGTGTTGTGACCTCCTTAAAGGTGTTGAATCCCGCACTAAAACCCTTATAATGACTGGCTGGTTCCATCTCACATCACAGATGGCGGAATGATTCCATCATTATACAGCTGTCTATAATCCTGCTTCATTAACGTAGAAGTTTGGCTTGACAGCATGTAGGGTAATTTCCAAGTCAGCACATACTTTTGGAGGACACAATTTAATCCATGACATACAAGATAAATGCAGAAAATATTGATATTGTAAAGGACTTCATTTACTTGGATTCACAGTCAGTGCTCATAGCAGTAAAGTCAAGAAATCAGACTATATCATTTATTCCACAAATCTGCAAAAGAACTTTTTAAAGTGTTAAACAGCAAAGTTGTCAGTTTGGAGACCAAGATAAACCTGACTCAAGCCATGACATTTTCCACTTGCCTTATATGCATAGGAAAGCCAGACAATGAATAAGGAAGACTGAAGAAAACTTGATGACTTTGAATTGTGTTGGGGAAGAATACTTAATATGGATTTTTTCAGAAGAACAAACTTGTCTTGGAAGAAGTACATCCAGAATGTGTAGTTGTGAGTGATGTGAGGGTGATATCCTTTGGATATGCAGTCAAGAGAGTTCAGTAGCTGGAGAGGGCTTACTGCTTCATAAAGTGGATGGTCAGCACAAAGATGAAGACCTCCACCAGATGGATTGATAAAGTGGCTGATGCAGTGGGCTTAAATGAGTGCAAGAACAGATGGTCTGTTTTTTTTCTCTTGTGCACAATGTTGCTATGAGTATGAACTACTTTAATGGCACTTAACCATCGATGCCTTTGAGTTGTGGTGTTGGAGAGGAGTACTGAGTATCCCATGGACTGCCAAAATAACAAACATATATGTCTTGGAGAAAGTGTAGCCATAGTTTTCCTTAGAGGCAAGGATGGCAAAGCTTTGACTCACATACTTGGGTGTCTTACTAGGAGAGTCTATTCCTACATCATGCTTGGAAAAGTGGAGGATCAGTGAAAGAGGAAGACCTCACATAAATGAATTGATACAGTAACTGCAGCAGCAGGCTGAAATGTATTGGTAATAACAAGGATGGTGCAGGATAGAACAGGGTTCAGGTTTGTTGCTTACAAGGTCACTATGAATCATATGTAACTCAACCTCATCTAATACCAACAATATCATATTTTACTCATTTTATGCATAGAGAATTGTCACTTTACAGAAGTTTTATTGATGTGATAGTTTTACTTTAAGAAAATATGAATGTGTGACAATCTGGAACAAGGGGTGCATTGGTGGATGGTTGGGGAGTTGGGGAAGAAAATTGCAACAAAAGAAAAAAAGAAAAAAAAATTTTTTAATATTGCACAGCACTCCTTTATTATACTGATCTGGAAAAAAAAGAGTTAGTATAGTTATGTTCAAACTGGGTTCTGGGCCCCAGTGGCAAGGGCCCCGCAACTGGAACATGATTCAGAAAACACAGTGGAGACACATTTGGACATGGTCTATAGGCATCTCACTGTCGCAAACAGTAAGGCAGGGGAAGGATTCTAAAATACACAGCAGGGTGGACTCCAAGCCCTAAGAGGTCAAGGAGCCTTTTCCCCCACGGGGCGAGGAATGGCTTATTTTCTGACGTATTCAAACTGCCAGCAGAAACCCTAGAAGGGGTTTTATCTTTTATGTATTTTTTCTTTTGAAAAGAAAATACAACACGTAAACATTCAGGCTTGATCCCAACCTTCTGGAGCCAGCTCCTCTGGGGTGAGGGAGGAAAGACTGCTTTCATCAGCATGTGGATTACAGTCATCCTCCACTGCAACGGCTAGAGTACCCTTACTACAGAACTGGACAGGACAGGACACTGGCTCCTGGCAACAGGACTAGGCTCTCCGGCTTCCCCTTATTGGTCATACCTGGCATGGCTCCTCCCTATCTCCTACTCAGATAGGTCCTTAGTAAACAAACCACAAGCAAAAACCCTGGAGTCCCTACCTCTCATGGATGAGAGGTCTTCCCTATGCCCTGGACTGAGGACCATTGCCCAGAGGTGCCATTCTGACTAGACTAGAAAGAGAGTGTGCAGGAGACAAGATGGCTAAAATGGGAGCCACCGGCCCGCCCCCCCCATCTGCAGCTACAACTAAAGATGCCTACAGATGTGATCAGTGTAACATTTGCAGGGGAAGCAGTGCAGGGGAACAGGACGGGCAGGGAGGGTGCGCCTCAGGACAGCAGTCTGCCTGCTTGGCTTCATTTCTTGGCCTTGCCCTGAGCAGCCACAGCTTCCATGGCTTTGCGAACCGTCTCTTCATCTCCCAGGAACTGCATGGGCTTGATGGGCTTCAAGTTCTTGTCCAGTTCATAGACAATAGGAATTCCAGTGGGCAGGTTCAGCTCCATGATGGCCTCCTCAGAGAGACCCTACAGATGTTTGACAATGCCCCGAAGGCTGTTGCCATGGGCTGCAATCAGTACTCGCTTCCCCTCCTTGATCTGAGGAACTATTCCTTCATTCCAAAAGGGCAGGGCTCTGGCAATAGTGTCCTTCAGACTCTTATATGAGGGCAACTGAACTTCAGTCAGGTCAGCATACCTGCGATCCTTACTGATGTTGCTGTAGAAGGGGTGGTCAGGCTCCATCGGTGGTGGTGGGACGTCATAGGAGCGCCTCCAGATCTTTACCTGGGCCTCACCATGCTTGGCAGCAGTTTCTGCTTTATTGAGGCCAGTCAGACCTCCATAATGCCGCTCATTGAGGCGCCAAGTCCTCACTACTGGCAGCCACATCTGGTCAATGGCGTCCAGTACTGTCCAGAGCCTCCGGATCGCTCTCTTCTGCACTGAGGTGAAGCAGATGTCAAACTCATAGCCAGCATCTCGCAGCGCCTGTCCACCGTGCTTGGCCTCCTCGTGCCCTGCCGGGCTCAGGTCGGCGTCGTACCAGCCGCTGAAGCGGTTCTCCAGGTTCCAGGCGCTCTCGCCATGGCGGATGAGCACGAGCTGGTAGGCGGCCATGGCGGCAGGCAGGGGATGCGGCGCTCACTCATAAAAATATTTTTTAAAAAAGGAAAAAAGACATGTATAAATTTGTTCTACTAACGACTGGAATAGCACATCAACAGAGAACTCCCAGAAGTCCAGGCTGGTTTCAGAAGGGGTCGTGGTACCAGAGATATTGTAGCTGATGTTAAATGGATCTTGGCTGAAAGCAGGGAATACCAGAGGAATGTCTATCTGTGTTTCATTGACTATGCAAAGGCATTTGACTGTGTAGATCATAACAAACTGTGGCTGATTCTGAGAAGAATGGGAATCCCAGAACACTTGATCGTTCTAATGCGAAACTTATACTTGGACCAGGAGGCAGTTGTCAGAACAGAGCAAGGGAACACTGCATGGTTCAAAATTGGGAAGGGCATACGCCAGGGATGCATCCTATCTCCATACCATTTCAACCTATATGCAGAACATATTATCCGGGAGGCTGGGCTCTATGAGGAGAAATGTGGGGTCAAGATTGGTAGACGATTTATCAACAATCTGCGTTATGCGGATGACACAACCCTGCTTGCTGAAACTGAGGAGGACCTGAAGCGCCTGCTGCAGAGTGTCAAGGACTGCAGCCTACAATATAGATTGAGGCTCAATGTCAAGAAGACAAAGATTCTCACCACTGGACCAATTGGCAGCATCAGTATGGATGGTGAAGAGATTGAGATTGTACACAGCTTTAGTTTGCTTGGCTCCATAGTCAACAGTCTTGGCACCAGCAGCCAGGAAATTTAAAGGCGCATTGCCATGGGAAAGTCTGCTGTTAGGGACCTCTCCAAAGTGCTGAAGAGCAGTGGTGTCTCTCTGGAGACTAAGGTGCACCTGATACAGGCCATGGCCTTCGCAATCACCTGTTATGCATCAGAGAGTTGGACAGTGACCAAGGAAGATAGAAGGAGAATTGATGCCTTTGAGCTGTGGTGCTGGAGAAGAGTATTGAGAATACCATGGACTGCTAGGAAAACAAACAGATTTGTCCCAGAGAGGGTTAAACCGGGTGGCTCCTTGGAGGCAAGGATTCTGAGGCTCCGTCTAACTTACTTTGGGCATGTTGTGAGGAGAGACCGGTCCTTAGAGAGGGACATCATGCTTGGGAGGGTGGAGGGACGGCGCAGGAGAGGAAAGCCCTCTATGAGGTGGATTGATTCAGTGACTGGGATAATTGGGATGGGAGTGTCAGAGACAGTGCGATTGGCACAGGACAGAGCGGAGTTTAGGGCTGTTGTACATAGGGTCGCTATGAGTCGCAGGCGACTCGACGGCACATAACAACAATATTTTACAAATATTTTAACTTTTTATTTAAACATTTTTAGACACTAGTTGTGTTTAAGTGGCATTTTATGGCTAATATATAATTTGACTAGTTTTTTCATTTCTTAAAATATTTTGCTATCAAATTTATTTTAAGATTTTAGTTTATAGCTCTTCAGGATGTACTTAAAATGAAAGTGTTTTTGACCTTGTGATTACTGAATGTGAAGACAAATGTTCAAGTTTGTCACACATTTTATTTTCCCATTAAAGCTGGGCTGAAATGATTATTCTTCTATGTATTTAAACTCTGAGTCAGTTTTATAAAATTATAGTATTTTATTTGAAGAGTGTTGAAAAGATAAATTTCTCTTTTCAGTAATATTCCATATATTCTATCAGTGCATAACTATATTTAGAAGTGAAAATTCAGAAAACAGCTTTCAACTTCTGGAGCACTAAAATACTTCTTTCTTTTGTAGAAACATAGACAACCAGTTTCCCGGGCAAGCAGTTCCGGCTGGGTTCCCAGTTTATCCTGCCTTCAACCCCCTGCAGATGCTCTGGTGGCAACAGATGTATGCTCACCAGTATTACATGCAATAGTGAGTTAATCGGAATCTTTTTAAGTTGCCCCTTATATTTGCTTTACTTTTTTTATCCTCAGTAAATTGACTTGAGATTTCATTTGCTAATATAATTCATTAGTTATTTAACATTATGATGACAAGGTATTCACAAGTAGATAAGGCAGACGTTTGTTTTCAAGTATTCAGTTATACAAACAAGTTTCCTTGTAACATTAGACTAAATCTGTATGTAGGAAAGGCTTGGAAGATCGAGTAGAAAAATGAAATGGAGTCGTATGTCAGGATGGAGATGTCTTCATTGCTCAGGTGCTGGCTAGGACTAGATGGTCAATCAATGTGGTGATAAGTCTTAGTTTTAGTCCTCTGAACAGTCAGCACTGAGGACAGTTTATTTTCTTCTGTGCATTCATTAATACTGACTCTCGTCTAATGTTTTCCTTTCCCTGGGTTTGTAATCCTATTTTTTTTATTCTCATTCTTTTTATCTTCCCAGTCACTTTTTTTCTTTATTTTAAATGGTATCAGTCTTTGCTCAATTTTACAGACATCTGTGTACTTACCATGTACCTCACAGCACTTGTCATATGATAAGGAAGAGTGGGTTTGGTTCTGGGCGAAGGCCAAGGGCCTTCAGAGTCCTTCCTTCCACTGCCTTGTCTGTCATATTGGCTTTCTGTGCATGGCTCCCAATTCTTTATCTCCTGCTGTCTTTATCCTGGATCTCTCCTTAATGATCAGTCTTATTCTATCACATTAACCTCTGACTTTTGAAATACATCAAGATTTAGTATCATTTTGCTTAGAGCCTTTTATAGAAAACTGTATGCTAACTTTCAGTCACTGTAATTATAAGCAAACTTTAGGATCCAAGTCCTTGTAAATTTTAAGAACTTCTGTCAGGGACCCTCAGTTGGAGATCTCAGAAGTTAGGATGTGGGTTGATAGTTACCTAGGATCTATTTAATATTTTACAGCAAGCATTATTTTATCCTTGGTGATGGGGACATAGGTCAGTAGTTAATATTTGCCAAACATTTTTAGGTAAATATTTTCTAAACATGATTTACAGAGGGAATTGGTAATGCTTTGTGGATATTCCTATCTAGAACAACATATGGACCCTTAGTGAAAATGGAAAGATTTGAATTGCTGGCTTTTAGCTTATAAGGCATTTAGTGAATGAGAAAAGAAACATAGCAGTCCTCACTTCCTCCGCTTCTCCCTTCCACAAAGTCTTAGACAACCACTGTCTAGCCTCATTCCTTTTTTTTAATTGGAATTGCTTATATAGTGGGCCAAAAGTTGTGATATTTTATATTGGGTTCATGAAAAATAAATAGGACTTTTAGGAAGTTTTAAAGCTTCTATAATAAAATGAAATTTCTTTCTTTTTATTATTTACTTTGATGATTATTTCAGTCAAGCTGCAGTTTCAGCTCAGGCCACATCAAATGCCAACCCAGTCCAGCCTGGTGTTCCACAGCCTCTACATATGGCACATGTTCCTGGAGAAGAACCCCAACCAGCTCCAAACCTAATGGCTCAAGAAAACCAGCCCATGAATGATAATGTACAAATGAATGCCCAAGGAGGCCCAGTGCTAAACGAAGAAGACTTCAATCGAGACTGGCTGGACTGGATGTACACGTTCTCTCGAGCTGCAATTCTCCTTAGCATTGTATACTTCTATTCTTCTTTCAGTAGGTTTATCATGGTAATGGGAGCCATGCTACTGGTTTATCTGTAAGTAATGTTAATTTTTCTTGTTTGTTTCATTTCTCTTCTACATTTTTTTCCCCATAAACCCCTCTCCCCTGAATACTTTCCACACATTCTTCCCCCTATACTTTGTCAAGATCATTGGCTCAGAATATATAATTTGGTAGCCTCTCAGTGAATGTTGAATCAAGAAATGTGAATTCTGGCCTTCTAATATCTGACATCTCTAAAGTACTCAAGAGCAACGATGTCTCTCTGGAGACTAAGGTGCGCCTGATACAGGCCATGGTTTTTGCAATCACTTGTTATGCATCAGGGAGTTGGAAAATGACTAGGGAGGATAGAAGGAGAATTGACGCCTTTGAGCTGTGGTACTGGAGAAGAGTACTGAATGTACCATGGACTGCCAAGAAAACAAATAGATTCATCCTAGAGAGGGTTAAACCAGGCTGCTCCTTGGAGGCAAGGATTCTGGGGCTTCGCCTGACATACTTTGGGCATGTTGTAAGGAGAGACAGGTCTTTGGAGAGGGACATCATGCTGGGCAGAGTGGAGGGACAGCGCAGGAGGGGAAGACCCTCTGTGAGGTAGATTGATTCAGTGACTGGGGTAATCGGGATGGGTGTGTCAGAGGCAATGCGATTGTCACAGGATAGAGCAGGGTTTAGGGCTGTTGTACATAGGGTCGCTATGAGTCGCAAACGACTTGACGGCACATAACAACAATAACAACAATATCTGACATGTCTGATACAACAAGTTAGGCAAGCTGTGTTGAACTAGAATGCTTATCAGAATTATGTAGAGAATATTTTTTCCTTTACTCTCTTTTATGTCAGTTGTTAATTTTGTTACAAATACTGCATTAATTATTTAGAACTTGAGAAGGTACACATTGAACTCATAGGGGAATGCCCTTAGGAATCCTAGTTTTCCTGTGGGTATAGGTCAGATTTTTTATTAAGTAGGAAAATTTTCTTGCCTTCTTTTTCCTCAAGCAGCCAGGAATTATTTCAATTTCACTTTGAAAAACCTCAGAAAGAAGGTTTATGTCTTCTGATGTGTCTTAATGTCTGCCATAGAGCCAATTAAACCACGGTAGACTTTTAGGTTTGAATTGATTCTTGTTTTGCTGACCTAAAATAAGAAATGTACTGTTTTAATTTTTTATAGTTCTAATAATTTTTCTCTTCTAAGATATTAACTAATTTATAATGTTACAAATAAAATTATTGTGGTTTTTCTGTTTTATTTAACAGGCACCAAGCTGGATGGTTTCCTTTTAGGCAAGAAGGAGGTCAGCAACAGGCTCCCAATAATAATGCTGAAATGAACAATGATGGGCAAAATGCAAACAATCTAGAGCTAGAAGAAATGGTGTGTAATCTCCTCCCATGCAGTTTACTGCCTCTGCAAACCTACTGGAGGGTTAGCTAAGCTATGAGTTGATTCCAATTCAATGACACACACCAACAGCATGAAGCTTTGTATACTTTAAATATAGATGTTGCTATTATGAAAAAAAAATGACAAGTATGGTAATTTTATCCTAGAGAATTTTGAATATAATATAGAGTTAGTCATTTCCTAGATTAAATAGGAAAGATTAACATAGTTTCTTCTGAAAATAAACCAGAAAGGAAAATTCACATATTGAAATTTTTTTGACATTTAATTTTATTACATTGTCACTGGTCTCCTTTGAATTTGAATGCCAAGGAATTGATTCTTTTTTGATACATTTAATTTTATTACATTGTCACTGGTCTCCTTTGAACTTGAATGCCAAGAAATTGATTCTTTTTTGAACTTAGCCAGGTTTTATAAAGAACATATATACCACTTGATTACTACATGCTCATGGGTTTTTTTTTTTAAATTAAGAAACTTTTAACGCTTGCCCTTCTATCATGAGTTAATATTTAGGAGTCTGTTTCTTGTTCTGTTTGAAAGGAGCGTCTTATGGATGATGGGCTTGAAGATGAGAGTGGGGAAGATGCAGGTGAAGATGCCAGTGCAGTTCAAAGGCCTGGACTGATGGCTTCAGCGTGGTCTTTCATCACCACCTTCTTCACTTCTCTCATACCAGAAGGGCCTCCCCAGGTTGCCAATTAGACCTGAAAAACTGTGCCAGCTGCAAAGGAGGGGTTGACATTAGGAAAGTGTTTTAAATAACAGTGCAATTTTAAAAAAAATGTATAACTTTCTTTTGATCATCATGTACAGAGGTGTTTTTTTTCTTCAAGCTTCTCATGCATATGAATATTTTAAGCACAAATGGACTCTGCTAAATGCGTGATTTTTTTTTCTTCAGTGATTCTAACAACTTTGTGTAACAATATTGGTCTTCCAGGTATTTCAATTATGTATATTCTATCAAGATAGACCTACCATGTGTCTTATTTCTTCAAAGAGCTGCTTCACATATAAAAGTCTATAGTTAGCCTAGCCCTTAAGTGTGTAATTTGAATAAATATATCTATTTTCTGTGAATTATCCTAAAAGTTTTAAACAGAATGACCTCATAGTTTTTAACAAATAGCGTTTACTCAAAATGTTCTAGTAGCATCTTGACCAGCCATAAAGCAATAAATAATCTTAATTTTGGAATTTGAATAAAATAATGGAAATTTTCTATTTTAAGGGCATGCATCCCATTAATTGGAATTAGTACCTTTTTAAAAAGGCAGCTCTTCAGTGGAATTAGCAGTGATATAAAATGTTTGATACAGGCAGTACTTTTTATAAAATGAGATATGCTGGAAATCACTTCCTGTAATTTTTTAAATAAAAGGTCAATCAATTATGATAAAAAGTTTTATGGAATATTTGTTCAGCCTCTCAATAATGTGTCCATTAATCTTTGTCAGTTTCAGTAGCTGTTTGGAAGAGTTGCCAAAGTGTTCAAGGTATTTTTACATATTTTTATCTCTTTTCTCTCCAGATAATTATATTCTAATTCTTAGTCTGAAAATCTAGGTGGTGGTGGTTGTTAGGTGCTGTCGAGTCCTGTATGGCTCATTGTAGTTGCCTGCAACTCATAGCGACCCTATGTACAACAGCCCAAACCCTACTCTATCCTATGTCAATCTTATTGTCTCTGACACATCAACCCCATTACCCTATGACTGAATGAATCCATCTCATTGAGGTTCTTCCTCTCTTGCACTGTACCTCCACCCTCCCAAGCATGACGTCCCTCTCCAAGAACTGGTTCCACCTTGCACCATGTCCAAAGTATGTCAGACGAAGCTTCAGAATTCTTGCCTCCACTAATAGCAGCCAGCCAGAAACTTGCCCTATCCTGTGCCATTCTCACCATCTTTTGAGACACTAGAGCCTATTGCTGAAGTCACATTTAAATCCATCTTATTACGGGTCTTCCTCTCCTTTGCTGACCCTCCATCTTTCCAAGCTTGATTTCCTTTTCCAAGGAATAGCCTTGCCTAGCTACATGTCCAAAGTATGAAAGATGAAGCTTCGTCATCCTTGCCTCCAAAGAGCGCTCTGGCTGCACTTTTCCCAGGACATAGCTCTCTGTCCTTTTGGCAGTCCATGGGATAGTCAGTACTCTTCTCCACACCACAGCTCAAAGGCATCATCAGTTCTTCTTCTGTTATTCACTGTCCAGCTCCCTGATGGGTAGCAGGTGATTGAGAAGACTATGGCCTAAATCAGGTGCACCTTAGTCTTCAAACTGACATCACTGCTCTTCAGTATTTTGGAGATGTTCCTGACAGCACACTTGCCCAATGCAATGTGTCTCCTGATTTCCTTGCTTCTGGTACCAAGGGTTATGATTGTTGATCCAAGCAAGATGAAATCACTGACAGCTTCAATTTCTCTCCATCTGTCATAGTGTTTATTGTTGGGCTTATAGTGAAGATCTTTGTCTTCTTGACGTTGAGATGTAATCCATACCAAAGGCTGTAGTCCTTGATCTTTTGCAGCATATATTTCATATCCAGCAAGAAAAGTTATAAGCATCACACAGGTTGTTGATGAATCATCCTCAAGTCCTGATGCCCCACTCTTCATTGAATCTGGCTTCATAAATTATTTTCTCAGTATACAGATTGAATAGGTATGGAGAAGATAAAACCTTGGCACACATCCTTCCTGATCTTAAACCAAGAAGTTCTTGTTGTGTCTTACTGAGTTTGAACTGGCCCATACCTGACCCTTTAGCAGATTTTCAGAGGCATTTCAATCACACAGGAGGAGATTGCCCATCCTTCTCCTGTGGAGCAGCTGACAGAAACGAATTGCGTGCCTTTGGGATTGCAGCATAGATTCTTATCATTAGACTACCAGAGCTCCTGCAGTCGTTTATTTAAAATTCCAAGTGAAAGTCAAATTTAATAGTCTACAAGGAAGGATGTGTTTCTTAGAAGATAGCTAACTATAATAAAATAAATGTAGATTGGAGAACTTCCTTTGTGAAAGATTCCGGTTCTGGTCCATTAATTAGTACAAACTCTGCCCTATCCTGTGCCAATCTCACTATCTCTGACACACCTACCCCCATTACCCCAGTCACTGAATCAATCCATCTCATCGAGGGTCTTCCTCTCCTGCACTGTCCCTCCACCCTCCCCAGCATGACGTCCCTCTCCAAGGACTGGTCCCTCCTTGCAACATGTCCAAAGTATGTCAGAGGAAGCTTCAGAATCCTTGCCTCCAAGGAGAAGCCCGGCTTCACACCTGTTCGTTTTCTTAGCAGTCCATGGTATATTCAATACTCTTCTCCAGCACCACAGCTCAAAGCCATCATTTCTCCTTCTGTCATCCCTAGTCATTGTCCAGCTCGCTGATGCATAACAAGTGATTGCAAAGAACATGGCATGTATCAGGTGCACCTTAGTCTCCAGACTGACATTGTTGCACTTGAGTACTTAGAGAGGTCTCTAACTGCAGACTTTCCCATCGCAATACGTCTTTTCATTTCCTGGCTGCTGGTATTCATTCATTCATTTTGAAGGAAAGAGATACATAATTAAAAACAAATAATAAAAATTTTGAAGGTAGTAAAGAGTTTTAAATTCAATGGGAAAACTAAAAGATAAACAGCCCAATAGGAAATGGATAGGTACATGGAAACAAGCGTGAGAAATGTGTTATGTAGAAATAAAAGTTCCCAAGTTGCTAAGATAAAGATACTATAGGTGATGCTATAGAAATTTAAAATAGTCCATAGTTTTCTGGAAAGCAGATATCACGTTTAAAATGTGCACAGAAGCATTCAGTGCTATTCCATTTATCCTAGAATAAAAGATCAAACTCTTTATCATGCTTACTTTGTGGGCATTACATGTGATCAGACTCTCGGAACAAGGAGAATCAAAGAAGAAATGTCCTGAGAAAATGATCAAAGATTTCTTTGAAGGAAACCTCTCAAAGGCCATGAAAGGTGAGATACTATGTGTTCTAGCAGCTCAACAAATCCCAAGGATAAATTCCTTGCAACGAAAGATAAGGACTTAAGAGGGGGGTTGGGGTGGAGTCACCTCCCAAGGTGAACCAGACTACACTCTGATTTCTCAGGGGAAACCACATGGACAAGAAGGCAACGGAATGACCTAAAATCCTCAAAGAAAAAGCATATGCTGACCAAGAATTCTATATCCAGCAAAATTATCCCTCCCTTAAGATGCTGAAACCAGGACATACCCAGATACATTTGTAAAATGCAGACCAACAAATGCTAAAAGGGGTCTTTTAGCCAGCCAGCCTGAAAGTAAGATAGCAACATCACCCAGAAATTAACCCAGATGCAGAGGTACCCAGATAGAATAAGCCTGTAAAACTTGGTGGTTAGGTGCCATCAAGTAGGTGACTCCCAGCAACACCACATGAGGTAGAATGAAACACTTCTTGATCCTGTGCTGTCTTCACAGTTGGCCACTATGCTTGACCCCTCGGTTATTGCCTCTGTGGCAGTGGCTCATGGAAGAAAGATTCTCTCATTAAAGGTCTTCCTCTTTTCCACTGATGCTTTCTTACCAAGCAAGAGATAGAGAACTAGAAATGTAAAGTTGCTGAAGGCGAAATGGACTTGAAACACTTGCTGGAGAAAAGCCAAGTCTGATTGCCTTCAATATGGTTTACTTATCAACATTAAGAAAACCAGAATCCTCACCACTGGGCCAAGAGGCAACGTCATGTTAAATGGAGAAAAGACAAACTGTCAATTATTTAATCTTGCTTGAATCCACAATCAGTTCCTTTGGTACCAGCAACCAATAAATTAAAAGATATGTTGCACTGGGAAAAGCTGCTGTCAAGGATATCTTCAAGGTGCTAGGGAGAAATCATATAATTTTAGCAAAGACTAAGGTGTCAGGAAATGAAAAGACGTATTGCAATGGGAAAGTCTGCTGTTAGGGACCTCTCCAAAGTGCTCAAGAGCAGTGATGTCACTCTGGGGACTAAGGTGCGCCTGATACAGGCCATGGTCTTTGCAATCACTTATGCATCAGACAGTTGGACAACGACTAGGGAGGATAGAAGGAGAGTTGATGCCTTTGAGCTGTGGTGCTGGAGAAGAGTACTGAATGTACCACGGATTGCCAGGAAAACAAACATTCATCCTGGAGAGGCTACTCCTTGGAGGCAAGGATTCTGGAACTTTGACATATTTTGGACATGTTACAAGGAGGGACCGATCCTTGAAGAGGGACATCATGCTTGGGAGGGTGGAGGGACAGCACAGGAGGGGAAGACCCTCTATGAGGTGGATTGAGTCAGTGACTGGGGTAATCAGGGTGGGGGCAACTCGACAGCACATAACAACAACAACAACAAGGTGTACCTTTGAGAAAGTCTGCTGTTAGAGACCTCTCCAAAATACTGAAGAGAAACAATATCAGTCTGGAGACTAAGGTGTGCCTGATTCAGGTCATAGTCTTGGCAATTACTTGCTATAAATCAGAAAGCTGGACAATGAATAGGGATGATAGAAGAATTGATGCCTTTGATCTGTGCTGCTGGAGAAGAGTATTGAATATACTATCGACTGCTAGGAGAACAAACAGGTTGGTCCTAGAGAAAGTGAGACCAGGCAAGGATTCTGAAGCTTCATCTGACGTGATTTGGACATGTTCCAAGGTGGGAGA